CCTTCTGCCGCCAGATACAAACGAGTGCGTTCCTCTGGGTCTGTGGCACCATGGCCACCGTGGAATACTTGGCTTTGAGACGGCGGGGAGCAGCAGCTTGAGCAAAGTGTCGAATATAGGTGGCGGCATTCGCAATAATTAAGCAAAACACCGTCAAAATAAAGATCAAATGGACTGTGCACTGTCTTTCACCCGTATTCAGAATCGTTTTGGGGGCGAGGCTCCATATAGCGACACCCGTTCGTCCCTCGCAGCCGTTGTAGTATGTAACAAGTATAACATTTGGACCTCTAAGGTGGTGCCCGTTAGATATTTCTTCTGTGCGTTTTTGAACAATAAAAAATAGTGCTCAATGTACATGCCAATGACTGCTAATGTAGAATGAGAGACAGGAGCATTCGGCTTTTAGTTGACGCGCACGCTGCGATCCCCATTAGCAGCCATTGGCATGTACATTGAGCACTATCTGACAAGAAAGGGTTGCTACGTTATACTCGCTGGGTGTAACCTCCTTAGTTTTAGAAAGGTTTAGCGAGCGTTGAGCCGCAGTGCCATAAATACAATGAACTAGTATGTACCATGAATGAACTCGAGGTGGTTAAAGGTGGAAGTAGATACGAAGCGCAAGCCGTAAGAAAGTAAAAGCCGAATTCTCCTGTCTCTCATTTCCCATTAGCAGCCATTGGCATGTACATTAAGCACTATCTGACAGGAAAAGGTTGCTACGTTATACTCGCTGGGCGTAACCTCCTTAGTTTTAGAAAGGTTTGGCGAGCGTTGGGCCGCAGTGCCATGAATACAGTGAACTAGTATATACTATGAAGTAGAGGTGGTTAAAGGTGGGAAGTAGACCCGAAGCGCAAGCCGTAAGAAAGTGTGCATGTGCCACCTCTCGTTCAGTGCTTGGAATGTCCCCTGGATGGCGGTGCTTCTATAGGCGGAATATATGATGAAAAGATGCAAGATGGTGGTACTTGGAGTGTTGACTAGATGAACGAACGGACACACTGACAGATGCAATGACGGACGCACGGATGAACGTGCGGACGCACGAACAGACGCACGCACGGACTGGCGGATGGACGCACGGACGGTCACACAGACGGACGCATGGACGGAAGGAAGCAAGAACGAATGGACGGACGGATGCTTCGCCCCACTCTCTATCATTCACCCCGTGGATATGCTGCCATTTTTTTTTTTTTTTTCTTATGCACGGCATTTCGAGGTGATCGCGCGCGCACGCGTGGACCAGTCGCGGCCTCCCACGGCGATCCTTGTAATGACCGAACGCGCCATGTTCGAATCAGCCAATGGCTAATAGATGACCTTAGGTGTTCTGTGGATGACCTTCTACGAGTGATCTTTGAGTTTGCTCCACGATTCGTCGAGAAATGAAAAAGCTATTTTCAGCTGAATTTGATAAGTTATTGTGAAGTCCAGACCACGTGCTGCGCTATAATATTTGGCTCGCTTGTTCTCAGGAGCCTCTACTACCGATCAGCAGCGTTTTTCGGCCATGCTCAAAAATTGTTGCAGGGCCCCTCTAAGCATTGCGAGGCTGTGCGCAGAGTGGGAGGAGGTGGCACCGGGATTTTCGCAATGCCGCCGTTTCGCTGTTGGCCCGAAGGCCACAGAGTCAATAGCGGCCGCGGCGGTCGCATTTCGCGGGAGGCGAAATGCTGGAGGCCCGATATCAGCGCACAATACAGAACACCGGACCGTCGAACTTTGCGTAGCACTCCCCCTACGCCATCTCAAATATTGCTTGATTTGTAGGGTTTAACGTCCCAAAACCACGATATGATTATGAGAGACGCCGTAGTGGAGGGCTCCGGAAATTTTGACCACCTGGGGTTCTTTAACGCGCACCCAAATCTGAGCACACGGGCCTACAACACTTCCGCCTCCATCGGAAATGCAGCCGCCACAGCCGGGATTCGAACCCGCGCCCTGCGGGTCAGCAGCCGAATACCTTAGCCACTAGACCACCGCGGCGGGGCCCCCCTACGCCATCTCAAATATTAATATGATGGTTTTGAATAATAGAACACAAGATATGCAAGTAAATAGGCAGAAACTGCAGCGGTCGCTAACTTTCTTCGACCAATACTAATTTTCTGCTACCTGTTTACTATGCATACGCTAGTAAACAATTACTACCTGCAACCACTACTAACGTTTTGCTGCCTGCTTGCTAGTTTAGTAAACCATTACTACCATTTTGCTATGCGGCCATTAACTACCCAATACAAAAGTATGGGTGCATTAATGCATTAAGTTATAACTGAAGTCGTCTCGACAACTTTAATCGAAAATTTTCGAAGAAAATGCCCATGAATGAAGAAACATACCATATTTTCTTCTATATACGGAACTGCGATTTCTAAGCATCATTCTGCTGCTGTGAACTATAAGCAAGTGTACACAATATAGCTTCTAACAAACTAACATGACAGGCGGATGTGAACAGACCCCAGCAGCAGGTTGAGATTGATGCGGGTCCCTTCACTACATGTCTGATAAACATGTAGTCGAATAGGCACGTAAAACCCAAGCAATGATGATTATTACTTTCTAAGTGCCTGTGTACTAGCACAGGCATCCATTCAAGTGCACTGAATGGATGTTGTCATTAGCGGGTTCAGCACCCCCTCTCAGCTGTTGTGCATAATGCTTTGTTGTGGCAGTTGTACAACAATTAGACTTGACATAATGTTCTTTTTCATATGGTTGATTAATTCTTGTGCTATATCATTAAGCACATGGAATGAGGTTTAGTAGGGTACGGTGCTCTAGGTTCACATCTTTGGTAATACTTCCTGACTGGGGCATAGCTAAAGGGGAGCAAGATTAAAAAGTAGAAATTCTGCAAAATTTTTCAATTCTACTTGCATAATATGCACACGTGCAAATGCACACACAAACATATATAAAGTATAGTTTAATCACCCTCCACCCACAAAAAAAAAAAGATCTGACTACACCCTTGCCTTCTGAAACAGGTGCGTGCTCACCGGTGCATTAATGAATCTTCAATATTGGGGCCATAAATACTCTGGGAGTTGCTTATGAAGTATTCCTTCATAGTAAACTTGTTAGGACCATGCATTCCTCTTCATTTATAACACTCCGTGCAAGGTTACCTGATGTGTCCTAATGTCAATTTATAAATTTTACCTTAAAATGGGCAACTCGTCATTGTTTGTTGTCGTCATTGGTTACTACTTTTCCCTTAACCTTATTTTACTACCTATGGTAAGAAATGACTAGGGCGGAAACAGTTGCTCATTGCTGTTGGTAGCGGCAAACTCAACAGTTACCACCCTTGCCGTTACAAACTGCACGCATTGACAGGGTAGTAATATGTGACAAGCATTTAGTAGCCGAAATTCGTTCATACACAAATGGACATAGATGCAGGTAATGCAAAGCATTTCTTCGCGTACTTACTGCAGGCACTTCGAGCGTCAGTCTGTCTATCTGTGTCTAGCCGCCACCGCCTACGTCTGGGTGCTCTCGTTATCCCCCCCCCCCCCCCCACGCTAACTTGGCGCAAACCAAAATTACTACAGAAAGGAGAGAAGGTAAGATGGTTGGTGGTTGGACGAATATGACTCGTAAGTCATGACATGGATAATGTCACATTCCCGTCATGTACGTCGTCAAACCCTTTCTGCCAAACATGTGGCACATTGCCACAGGTGATTGACAGTTTATATTTACCCAGGAACGGCAAGAACAGGCATGGGTAATTTTAATGCGTGAGTGCTGAAAAAAAAAAAAAAAGCTGACATCGGTAGCGTTGATCCGACGAATGCATAGAATAACTGTCATGGTCCCAGCAGGAATCAAACCTCTGAATTTTGTGTGGAAATCAAGTTTTCTACCTCAGAACTGCGCCAGGTCTCGCAAGCACTTTTCAAATAGGTCCAAATGTTCGAGACACGTCAACTGTGGTAGCACTGCTAGCTATCCAGTTTTATAAACATTACATATGTACTCCTATGATAGAGCCGTCATGTCAGGTTCACGTCAATTGTAGTTAAGCGCCATCCACTGAAGTTGATTTATGTGGCAGTGTCCAGGGCTACCATGTTCGCGAGCACCAGCACTTAATATCAGCTTCTGGTGTTGCTAATACGCATGATCCTGTTGGCATCATTATGCAGCTGTAAACAACTGGTTATATAAAACATATGTGGCTGTTTAACGTGTGTCTATATGTGCACTTGTACATATCTTTAGAGCCACTTCGTAATGTTTTGCTAAAAAATAATAAATAAAATTTAAAACACGGTCACCTTCCATTTGCATGCTTTGCATAACATCCATTCCCAAGGTATGCGGGATTTGCCAAATTTTTTCACCAACTTTGGATGATACTTTGAATCAAGCGTCAGCGCTTTCGTACACAATAAATTTTTGCTTTCGAAATATCAGACTGTCAAATATAGGCGCTGATTTAGTTTGTTGTACAATTTGGGGATGCCAGCTTGATGGCAGGGGTGTAGAGAGAATGTTTACCAATGTTGTCTGGGGAAAAGGATTTGACCTTATTTTATGTATGTTTGGACGAGTGCATGTGTGTGCGTATGTACACCCATGCAAAATCGACAAATATCAGAAAGAACCTGGCCCCTTCACCTTTCTGGTTGGGCCTATGAGCAAAAGTGTCAGTTACGACCAGGGCGACAAGTGTGCACCCCACCCCCCTCTCACCTGTTTAAAGGTGTCCATGGAAGAGGGCGGGCGATATTCTGAACAGGCAATGAATTGCCGGAACGAATTTCGCGCAGGTTAGCTTTCCGATTTTCGTCACAATAATGCCAGGTTCGTCTGAAGCACTCCACTCAAAGCCCAGATAGTCCAGCTTTACACCTCCTCCCATCACCACTGGGTCGTATGGCCCCAAAAGAACACGAGAGAGGTTCATCATTGCTTTCAACAATCTTGCTAGTACAGCCACGATCCTTCCTTCGGAACACAAGACGATGTCATGGGCCATTTCAAACTTTTATTCTCATAAAAGAGAAAACTTGGAGAACACGACATTTAACGGAAGAGGGAATACAAACGGTCGATGTCAATAGCACTGTGAAAAACAATCTGTGGCTTTACAAAAAATATAGGACCGTCGTCTCGCTGTAACTGCACCAGTTTCTACTTAAGGCTCGTCGCGAAATGTGCCCGATCCTCCGCTACCGCAATTAAAAAGTAGAACAACCAAACTAGTCATAGTATGGCTAGTTTGAATCGTTTAACGGCAAATTCACACCTTTCTGCAAACACTCCTGCACCACGAATTTCCCGTCAAACTGAAAACAGCATCTTCAACACATGATGGCCGAAGCAAACCTGTTATAGCTTGAAACAAGCAAGACTACAGGGCCATTCAGTAGTAAAGCTACCGCTAAAGTTACTACTTCAAGTGTACATTCTCAGTTTCAATGTACCCTACAGAAAAGACACAGTTGAAGCTAGTCCTAGTGATAAGGCTTCTCATGCTCCCCTGTTGTGCAACTTCCTGCCGACGAAGTGCAGGTGATTCATAAAATGGCCACCAGCGGACGTCGAATCAAGATAGGTGGATTCACGGACTGGCAATAGACTTTTCTGGAGCTAGTTTTTACAGCTTGTAGGAGCTTTAGATTCTAAGGTCCAAGTTTGAGATGGCCAAAAAATAAACTGAAATGTTTACGTATTTTACTAGAGATTTATATGTATTATATTCCTGAAGAGAAAACATGCATACTGGAAAATCCACTGTATATCTAGTACTGCCAAGTGACATTCAAAAATGTAAGTTTTATTGTAAACATCATTTTACTCGAAGCACATTATTTATGTTCCTTAGTACTATAAGCCTCATTAGGCTGCATATGAGGGCTGCAGTGAAGCTGAGCTGACAATAAAAGCTATTATTGTTGACACCAGAGCGATCTCTCTCTTGTCCCGCATCACTTCCTCACAAGAGCAATATAATCAAGCGTGCACAGTGTCTCACCGCAACTTGATATCACAAACCCTGATACAATAAATTTTGATATAAAACAAGGCAAACTTAGTAAATTCAGGATTCTTTTTTGTAATGCAAGTGCACAAGGAATTGCTATAACAAACATGTCTCATAATTGGTGTGACAAAGACATTCCATGTTCACTAAAAGTGTTAAGCTAGTAGAAAACAGTAATCACCAAGTTATAAAGACGACAGGACTAGCTGGGATATACGGCCGAAGGAGCCCTTTCATAGCTCTTATAGTTGCATGCTCCAACTAGTCTCAGAGTCAACGTCATCTAATTATTACAACTCTCTATTGGCTTTATATTTTATCTTTCAAAGTAACAACTGGCACAGCGTACCACTTCGTGAATTCTCATTTCTCATAAAATGCGACTGACATAGAAAGCTTGTACTGCACCCATCGCCTGATGAGACTGTAGTGACTATGTGGTAAGTGACCAGCACTACAGGAGTTGCAGGTGAGGGTAGCAAAAAGCGAGGAACGGGACGACAGCAGCTTGTGGTCTTCCACTGGTGGAGGTTGTGTTCATTTGGCATCTTTCTGCTACTCGCTTTACACAACTGCCCTTGCGACACAGTAGATAACCAGGTAGCTTAGTTCGTAAACCGTTCTAAGTACTGGAGCCATTCTTTGGTGTACATGCGGAGCTTTCTAGGTAGCACCTCAATGCTCAAAAAGTGACATCACAAGAACCTTCCCATCACCCCCATGAATAAAAGAGTCTTCCTGAATAAAGTATTCTTCTTCCTTGCCTGTTGTCCCTCTCCTTTGCTATGGTCTAGCTGACCATGTGCCATGATGGTCCACCTCAAATGCGCGAGTGTTAGGCCTACCTTTAGCAGGCTGTAAATCTACAAAACACGCCTTTAGAGACAAAATTTTCCTCTTTCTTCCATGGCACTTTTTCATAACAATCTGCAGCTGCTAGCATATCACGCCGTACTTGATGTAGACAATTGAAGAGGCAGTCTTCAAGCCGTAAAGTTGAGGACTTGACCGAACGAGCCTGAAATGCATGGACCAGTTGCATGACTGTAGCATTTGACATCACAAGCCCGACAGTCTGAAGTTCTCGTACGTGAAAAGATAAAAATCTCACTGCTCCGCAGATAACAGTCGACGTATGAAAGACTACTTGGCGGGAGTCCATCGTTGAAATCCTCCTTGCCTCCGGTGCATGTTCGCTCTTTCGATTCTGCGTCAGCTTCTTGGACATTTATATTGGTAACTGAGCTGGTCCTTAAGCTTGCGAGGCTGGGCTCAGGAGTTCTCGCCGTCTTCGGGCAAGGGCTGCGAGTTGAAGTACTTGAGCGCCGCAACGGCATTCTCCATACCGATATTGTACAGCGGGTGGACTGTGATCTGAGGAAAAAAGGAAATTAACTCTTTCGTTACCGTGCAAATATCATTATTTTTGATTTGTCTCGAAAATATCACTTTTTGCCAGTTTGAAAAGTACTCCAGCACGCATTGCAGCATACTAAACATTGCACAATAAAATGCTTTTTTCAAGAAATATCTGTTGTAGAGCAACAAAAATATTTTAGAATGAATTAAAATGTGAAAAGTGTAAAAATTTGGTTGCCAGATGGTTAACAGTGCAATAAAAACACTAAATATGCAAAAATATTCAAACAACAAAAAGAATTCCCAATATACATTTTGTAGATAAATGACCCAGAAAGTAGTATAAAAATAATGAATGTTGTACAAGATGTTTCTTTTTACACAGCCAAAGAAAATCACAACCGAGGTGCTGCTTCACTGCTCTTGCCATGCGGTGAAGCAATGCATTGTTTTTCTTGAGACACAAGTGTACTCGTACACTTTCCTCAGTTAATTTTGGCTGTCTTGCGATAAGTCTCCAGGTGTTTCAATATAGATGGGTACCCATGGTGTCAATAATTCCTCTGTAAGTGAGATGTCCAATGAGCTTTGATATTTCATCTAGCGTCACCTTTTTCCATGAGACACCTCACTCCACATAGGTTGGCGTTAAAATACATGCATTCCGAGAATATTCAGTTGCATTTTTGTGCATATACACTAAAGGAAGGACAATATCACGGGCAGTTCTAAAACGTTTCGCACTGCTCACTTATCAGAGCCAAGATGTGCTTCGGCGGTTTTCTTTTCGTTAGGAGAAGCACTGCAGCCAGCGACAGCACATTGAGCTCCGGTGAAGTGTCGACCACGCATGCAACCAGAATAGTTATACGATTGTGTACACAGGTCAGAAGCTACATGTACAGTAGTTGCGGTGGAGGAGGCAACTTGAATATGTAAACAAAAGAAACCCATGAAAGGCCGCGGATGTCACATGCTGATGCAAAACATCGTCGCCATAAAACGTGTAGCTGAGGTGCTGTCATCCTCGAACTCTAGGCTCATCCTCACTCAATTCAGGTGAGATTGCAAGACAGTTTTAAGCAGCAGATGGTGTTTTTCAGCGCTGTTGTGCACCTGTGCACGCGTGATGAAGTCATAAGAGCGACTAGTGACACTAGATGTAACCCTTCGTCTGATATAACAATGCAAGCAAAACTAAAGCTGGTGGAAACTGTCAGAGAAGGCCACCCTGACACTTTGAAGATGCGGCGGACCTTCGCGAATATTTTTTGTAGAAAAAATTTTCCCTGGCCTCCAAGGAATAGCTTTCTATTGAATCTCTGGCATACATTTCTGGCAATGATTACTATATTTACTCGCGTAATGGCCCCGCCGCGATGGTCTAGTGGCAAAGGTACTCGGCTGCTCACCCGCAGGTCGCAGGATCGAATCCCGGCTGCGGCGGCTGCATTTTCAATGGAGGCAGAAATGTTGTAGGTTTGTGTGCTCAGATTCGGGTGCACATTAAAGAACTCCAGCTAGTTGAAATTTCTGAAGCCCTCCACTACGGCATCTCTCATAATCATATGGTGGTTTTGGGACGTTAAACACCACATATGAATACTCGCGTAATGAACTCTCCTATTTTTAAGAAAAGTTCATTACGCAGGAGAAAGAAGTCACGAGAGTTATAGCAGAGAAAATTTCAGGTGACGACTTGGCTTATTTTGGTCGGCGAAATGCTCAATATATTTTTTTTTTGTAGCCCGAAGCTCTTTTTGTTTCGTCCCATAATGAAAGTGCATGGATTGATGCCGAAGTGTGGTCCAGCTTAGTTCCAATGTTCCAGCGCATGCTGTTAGTGACCAGCCGTGTAGCTAGTGTACCCGGCGAATGCATCCTGCGCAGTAGGTGTCACAACTAAGTTCACAACGACAAACCCAACAACGAAAACGTAGTGTCGTATGGCGGCACACAAACGTTGTATTAGACGTTGCGGGTGTACAACGCATTGTCGGCGCGGTGGGTGCGGTTGCGCTTTGCATAGGTCGGAGATGGCGAGTGTGCGGCAAGTTCCATGACGCAGCGCGAGCGCCATTTTGGATGCCACGCACTTTGTTTTTGTGCCACTGTGTTTGCGAGGTGCTATCAGCAAAAGAGGTTTCTTCCGCATTCGACAAATGGCGCTTTGCCGTACAAGGCGTGGCAAAGCACACTGTATGGCAAAAGTAACAAGGTAGTTATCAAATGGGACGAACAGGTCATCATCATCATCATCAGCCCGATCACGCCCACTGCAGGGCAAAAGCCTCTCCCATGATTCGCCAATCAACCCGGTCTTGTGCTTTCTGTTGCCACGTTATACCTGTAAACTTTTTAATCTCATCGGCCCACCTAACTCTATGTCTCCCCTTCGTGCGTTTTCCTTCTTTGGGAATCCAGTCAGTTACCCTTAATAACCACCGGTTATACTGTCTATGTGCTACCGGTCCGGCCCATGACCATTTCTTTTTCTTGAATTTCAACTTATATTATCGTTAAGCCCGGTTTAGTTCACTGGCCCACTCGGCTCTTTTCTTGTCTCTTAAGGTTACACCAATTATTTTCCTTTCCATTGCTCGCTGCAGTCGTCCTCAATTTAAGCTGAACCCTCTTTATAAGCCTCCACGTTTCTTCTTTGTAGGTAAGTATACCGGTAAGATGCAGCAGTTATATACCTTCCTCTTGAGGGATAGTGGTAACCTATCAGTCATGATATGAGAGGGCTCGCCAAATGTGCTAGTGATTCGAATCTTGTGATTCGACTTGTGATTCTTGTGATTCGACTCTGCAGCTTATTACCTGTCCTAAGTAGACATACTCCTTAACCACTTCCAGTGCCTCTCGACGTATCACAAAGTGCTGTTTTCTGCCGAGATTGTTGCACATGACTTTAGTTTTGAGCATATCAATTTTCTGGCCTACTTTTCTGCTTTCCTTGTCCAGTTCAGTAATCATGAACTGTAATGCGTCCCCTGAATTACTCAAGGCAATGTCACCAGCGAATCGCAGGTTACTAAGGTACTCTCCATTAACTCTTATCCCTAACTATTTCCAGTCTAGAGTTTTGAATACCTTTCATAAACACGCGGTGAATGGCATTGGAGAGATCGTGTCTCCCTGCCTTACACCCTCAATATTGGGATTCTTTCCCTATCTTTATGGAGAACTATGGAGCTGTGAATCCTCTGTAGATTTCTTCCAGTATGTTTATATAGGGTTTCTCAATGCCCTGATTCTGTAGTGCCTACATTACTGCTGATGTCTCGACTGGGTCAAACGCCTTCTCGTAATCGATGAAAGCTATGTATAGGGGTTGGTTGTATACAGCGCATTTTTTTATTACCCGATTGATAGTATGAATGTGGTCTATTGTAGAGTAGCCGATACGAAATCCTGCTTGGTATTTTGGCTATTTTAACTCTAATATCGTCTTAACTCTATTAGCTATTATTTTTGTAAATATTTTGTAGAGAACGGAGAGTAAGCCGATTGATCTGTAATTTTTCATGCCCTTGACGTCTCCTTTCTTATGGATTAAGATGATGTTGGCATTCTTCCAAGATTCTGGCACCCTTCCTGTCAAGAGGCACTTTGTATATAAGGTGGCTAATTTTTGTAACGCAATTTCTTTGCCATCATTCAGAAGGTTTGCTGTTAGTTTATCCTCACCAGCGGCTTTGCCTCTTGCATTCCTTCTAGGACTTTCCTTACTTCCTTTGTCGTTACTGGTAGGATGTCGAATTCGCATGGTATACTATAGTTTCTCACAATGCCATCCTGGTTTTTTTTTACTTCTGTACAGCTCTCTGTAAAACTCCTCTACCATCTCGACTATCCTATCAATATTGGTTATGACATTGCCTTCCTTGTTTCACAATGCATACATTCGATTTTTGCCTATGCATAAGTCTGCCTTCGCAGCTTTTAGGCTCCTGCCTCTTATTACAGTCTGCTCAATTCTTTCCATATTATACCTCCTGATGTCGGCTACTTTACACCTATTGATTAACTTTGAAAGCTCCACTTGCTCTATTTTGTTGGTTGCATTTGAAACTTCCATCGTTTGTTGCCTCTTAATAAGACTTTTCATCTCCTAAGATAGTTTGCCAGTTTCTCGTCTAGTGACTAAACCTCCAACTTCAAATGCACACATTTGATGATACTAGTAAGATTATCGTTCATTCTATCAACGCTAACGTCGATTATCTCATTTAGTGGCCCAAATCGATTCTGAAGCAAAGCTCTGAATTCCTGTATTTTTCCTCTCACCACTAGTTCATTATTTGGCTTCTTGCATATCAGTTTTTGTCTTTGCTTTTTCAAATCTAGGTGAATATGAGCTCTTACCATTCTATGGTCACTGCATCTAATCTTGCCAACTACTTCTACATCCTGTACAATACCTGAGTGTGCACACAGAATGACGTCAATTTCATTTTTAGTTTTGCCATTAGGACTTCGCCATGTCCACTTACGGTTAGCCCGTTTTCTAAAGAAGGTATTCATAATCCCTAAATTATTATGTTCTGCAAACTCTACTAATAACTCCCGTCTGGCATTTAAAGAGCCGACGCCATATTCCCCCACTGCACGGTCTCTAACCTGTTTCTCGCCTACTTTGGCATTAAAGTCGCCCATAAGAATCTTATACTGTTTCTTTACATTATTAATGGCTGACTCTACAACTTCATAAAAGCATCCAACCAAATGATCATGACGGCTCGATGAAGGTGTGTAGGTCTGTACCAACTTCATCTTGTACCTTTTGTTAAACTTAATTATATTACTTGCCACCCCCTCTCTGATGCTATAGTATTTTTCTATGTTGCCAGCAATATTCTTATGTGAGAAACCTCACTCCTAGTTCTTTTCTGTCAACTAATCCACAGTAGCATAGAATGTGTTCATTCTTGAGCACTGTATAAGTCTCTTGTGTCCCCCTAACTTCGCTGAGCCCTACTACATCCCATTTAACACCCTCTAATTCCTCGAATAGCGCAGCTAGACTATCCTCACTAGATAGCGTTCTAGTGTTGAAAGTAACAATGTTCACATTACAATGGCGGCCTGTCTGTTCCCAAGGATTCTTAGCACCCTCAGCTGCGTCACAGGTCTGACCACAGCCTTGGACAGTTGCTTCGCAGCTGCTGGGGACTGAGGGCCAAGGGTTAATTGCTGCGTTCATGAGAGGTTGCGGCCACGTACTGCACCAGGGTGGCCAATCCTGGTGAACAGGTATCTGAACCTATAGAAATACAATGCGGGCTTCGACAGGGATGTCTTTTGTCACCTTTGTTATTTACGTTGTGTCTACAGGGACTAGAAGCCAAATTAGAGGGGAGTCGACCCGGCTTCAGCCTCTTTTTTGCCAAGCAAGAAAAACACATTGAAAAGTCATTACCAGCATTGATGTATGCAGATGATATAGTATTAATAGCCAACAACAAGGAGGATCTGCAGGAATTGATAGACATCTGTGGTAATGAGGGAGATAGGTTCAATTTGAACTTCAGCAGGGAAAAATCGGCAATCATGTTTTTCAATGAAACAAACGCAGTCAGCATAAGATACAGAAAGTCACACTAGAAATAGTGGATATATATAAATACTTGGTCGTATGGATAAATAACGGGGCTGAGTATTTAAGGGAGCACGAAAGATATGTAACGACTGAGGGCACCAGGAATGCAGCTGTAATGAAAAATAGGGCACTGTGGAACTACAATAGGTATGACGTTGTGAGAGGGATTTTGAAAGGTGTCATCCTCCCGGGTTTGACGTTCGGCAATGCGGTCTTGAGCATGAAATCAAAAGTTCAAACAAGACTGGAAATGAAACAACGTGGCATAGGTAGACTTGCTTTGGGAGCACACGAGAATACCCCAAATCAAGGGGGTAAAGATGACATGGGATGGACATCGCTCGAGTGCAGGGAAGCTAGCAGCAAGATAGAATTTGAGGAGCAATTGAGAAAAATGAGAGAAGAGCGTTGGGCTAGGAAAGTTTTCAGTTACTTGTACATGAAAAATGTCAATACTAAATGGAGAAAACAAACTCGAAAATTGTCAAGCAAGTATTTAGACAACAGCAGAATACCAAGCCAAAAGGAAACATCGATTAAGAAGAAGGTGAAGGAATGAGAGAGGGACATGTGGAAGATGGGAATGTGTACGAAATCATCACTGGAGGCCTACCGAACTTTCTAGCAGTAAAAGATCTATGATAGGTAATTCACGGAATAGTTCTCTGCTGTTCAAGGTCAGAACGGGAGTATTGCGGACTAAAACGTACTGAGCCAAATACGAAGGCACAGACACGGTGTGTAGTGCATGTGAAGAGGAGGAGGAAAATGGCAGAACATTCGATATGTTCTGTAAAGGGCTCCACCCTATTGTCGAAGATAATGACGCCGAATTTTTCAAAGCATTGGGGTTTAGGGACAGTGAAGTCAAAATAGACTTTAAACGGGTAGAAATAACCAGGAGGAGGCTAACTGATTGGTGGCTACAATCAAAGTGCAAGTGAAATCCTTAAACACATAGTGATAGTACTTAACTTTATGGCTAGATGACGTGAGCCATCGCCCAACAGCCTTATACAACCATCCATCCATTGCAACTGTTCAGCATGATTGCATAACTATCTTTTGTTTTCATTGCATCCTTATTTTGTCATATAATGGCTTTATTGAACTGTTGTTTCCATCATTAACGGCACTGGCTGTCATACCGAAATAAATTGAACAGATACATTAAAAAAAGTTTTGTCCTTTTTTTTCAAGGATCAAGGTGGGGGGGGGGGGGGTGTATTATGCGAGTGGGTTCAGTACCCGAGTAAATATGGTACTTATTAACATGGCCAAATTGCAAAGCTGACGCTTTAATTCGATATTTCGCTTGAAAGCTTCTTTCTATTACAGAACTTCGATGCTACTGTAACATAATCCCGAGAGGCACGAACTTCTGTCAAGTTTGCCAACCTAGTGCCCTTTTCCAACAATACACGCACATTGGTTCGAGCAAAGGTTCGTAAAAAATCACTATGTTGCAAAAATAGGTAAATTCTAATTGATTCTGAAAGTTTAGTGGTTGAACTAACTATTACAAAGTGCTAGGGTGAACGAGATACAAATTCGATATGTCAAAATCGATGATCCAAAAGTGCCTATCACTGGTGATCGACTTGATTAGGCATGGTAACAAAGGAGTTAAATTGAGCAGATTTCATGGCATTGCAGCGATTCGAAGATGCAAAGCTGTTTGAACATAATAAAGTTGTGCTCATAAATGTGTTGATGTCATGGGAAGTTACAATAACGTAGTTATACTGCATCATGTAGACAGTGCAATTATGTCATGCTATATAATCACTGGGGTTTGCTGTTCTTAAACCTAAGTAGTGTTATTATGAGCGACACTGTAAGAAGCGGCTCTGGAAATTTAGACTGTATATCGTACGTTATCGTGTACCTAAATCTAAGCACTTGTAGCTCTAGCATTTCGCTTTGATAGAAATGCGGCCACGGCAGCCAGGTTTAGATCCTGGGACCTTTGGGTCAGTGGCCAAGCACCGTAAACACTGGACCACTGCAGTGTGTACTACTTGTTGGATCCTGATTTCGTGCATAAACCAAGTGAATGACCATCATGGTTCCAAGGCCATCATGTCATGCCCAACTACTTCCATTACACAGTAAATGTCCTAGCAATCAATGTAGATTAATTAGCAGAGACATACACACTGAAGAATATAAACCGTAGCATTCAAGATCCGAATCTTATATCATTCGCAAAGGCATGATCAGGTTGTTCTCTCAACCGATGTCTTAGTAAAACATGCTTAGCATCTAACCCAACAATATGAACATCGTTTGCAATGGCCAGACAAGTGCCACCTAATGTCCCGCTGCTAAAGCCATAACCTCTAAGCACTTTCTCTGCAAGTGCCAAACATTTCATGAAACCGACTGCACGGTTGGTTGACACTGCCAATGACGCCACTAGTGCTCTGAACTTGTAATAAAATTTTGGCGAGGACACACAGCACGTTCTGGTGTGAAGACACTACACTATGCTGCCATATTTTATATAATCAAGTTCCAGAATTGGTACAGTTCTGAATACGAGCAAAAAGTCCAAGAATCACAGTGCAGTGTTAGAGAATGTTCTTAAGCTGCCCTGACTGATGTAAGCAGCATGCTATTTTTAAGGAGTATTACTTAACTCCTTAACTGAAGAGCACAGACCAACCTCCAGTAAGAATGATCAATCGGCTAATTTGTAGATTTGGGGAGGCATTTACCTACCGATTCACTGACTGCATCCAGCATACCAGAGCCATTAAATAAAGCTGAAGAATGCAGTACATTATAAATGTCCTGTAAGAATGCCCAATCTTCTTTCCAGTAAGTGCACTGTAATTCTACACCATTTTCTAGCATTATTCCTTCCTTCTAGACTTCTGCAAATATTCGAAGGAATAATGCAGTATTCGAATTCCCTACAAATAGAATTTAAAATATTGAAAATTTCGAATTATTCGAAACACACGAATAAATGCAAATAAATTTGCATGTGTTACAATGTAAAGGTGGTTTCACTGCAATAGAGCATTGCAAAGCCGTGAAAACACACATCCAAATGAAACCCGCACTGCCACGAAACCCCACTTCAATGTTAAATGAGGAGATTGTCCTCACATCGATCCATCTTTCAAGTTTAAAAGCTTGGAATACCTAATTATATGCTCTAAATATAGCAAATTTTAAAAAGTAACATATTTTACAGGCTCATACTTGCATTATAGCGCACTTCAAAATATGCTACTATATTCAAAGTTGTCACTTTCTATGTTGCAAAAACAATTGTATTTGCATAGGCCTAGTCTCAATTAAAAAATAATGTGCAGGTTTGCTAGATCATGACAAATATGCATTTTTTCTTAATAACACACGGTACATATGCTACTCGAATTCAATTAAAAATTATTTGACCAGAATCCCTATTAGCTTAGAACCTGAAATTCACTACTTGCACAAGCCTAATTCCTTCAGTGATGCCAGCTCTGGGTTATAATAGCTTTTTTATAAACACACTTAAAAGGACATTGGAGTCAAATAATGAACCAATGTAATGGCGAAATTTTTTTTCAGGCACTCTGCTGTTACTAATGTCACAATCATAGCCTTATCAGCGGAATGAAACAAATGTGACAGTTTAATATTAGAATTTCATGCTGATATCCCTGTATAGAAACATCAGCGGGATTTCTAAATGTTTTTTTCATATTTTCGCCACATTAGGTCAACAAGATTTCTTCAAACGTAGAACGTTTAACATTCCCGCATCTCAAAAGACAATGTACTTCACTTTTACCAATAAAGAATTACGTAAGCCACACAATACGTAATTAACATCTCTGACATCACTGCAAGTTGACGTGGGAACCTCACATCAACTTGCAGGTTACTCTCAGTAGCCTCTGCTAAAACTTAATCAAAATATTAACCAAACATCACGCAGGAGAACTGCTTTGTTGTGAGAAGAGACTTACAAGCTCGTTTTCGGGATCTCCGAGGACTCGACTGCTGCCCAAGATGCCTCCGCCGAAGTGTTGCGCGACGCTTAGCCCACTCAGCAGGTAGCAGGTGTGGTAATAGTCTCGGTGCCTTTCAAAAAAGTAAAAGGACACAAACGTTTGTCTAAGTATTCCACTAGAGTGCGGCACATCAGTGCCTCATACAGATTAATTGAAACTGATGAGAAAGTTAAGGAAAGTATAGGGGATGTTATTTCATGGTAATTATGACGCATACGCAACAAAAGTAAAGTGGACGAAAGCACGAATTGTTACTGCGAGGGGCCAAACCTGCAACTTTCAATTAACGCCCTTAATGCTCTACCAACAGAGCTACAGTAGCAGTTATCACCGCGTCCACTTTGTGGGGTGTAAAAGCGTATTTTATATTTTAGAGTGTTAGTGCAGCTAGTAGCTATTACGAGGGTAAACTCATTTTCTGCCTGCTGGTGTCAGCAGCAAGTCATATTTTCATCCACTTTACTTTCTTCCCATTTACACCACGACTGCTATGAAGAGCATTTCCTACACTTTGCTAGACTGTCGTCTGTTAGTTATAGTCAATGCTGTGTCCAGTATACAAAAAACTAGGCGAAGAAAGGTTCTACCGTATCCACACTAAAAGCGGTTCTTCTCGCTCACTTTCCAGGCTTGTCAAGGAGGCCGCCTGAGGGATCTTGGCAGCACAGCAGGATGTACTCCTGCAGGGCGTCCTGGTCGAAGAGCCAGCGCTCCATGCTCAGCGACTCGTTTCCCAGGGAGAAGAGCAGCTTGTGCAGCAGCGGGAAGGCCCCTCCCTGCCAGAAGCTGTAGCAGCCGTCCACCAGCTTGTTGGTCCGCCCCTGGAAGCCGCCCTCGAAGCGCATCTGGCGGTTCACCAGCCATCGCTGCAGGTGTAGCGGGGATGGCGAGAGAACGCCAAAAGTTGGGACGAAAGCAACATGCACTAGCTGTCACAGAAAGTTCTACTAAATGAAGGGGTCCTCCAACACTTTTTTCGAGTTTTAATAACAAGCGGTGGCTGTTACGGAAAGTTCAGTAACTTAAAAAGGCCCTGCAACACTTTTTCAAGTTTTAATGGAATCTGCTCCCTATTCGTCCATGACGCTTGACGAATCACATGCCGCAAAAAATATTTAAAATCTGTTATGTATGAGCGCAGCTGCAAGGATTGGTTACACGATGAAAGCTAAACAGAGGGGGACGAAAACAGTGCGGTAAGCTACGAAGGTTCTTCAGAGTGTGCCACGACTTTGGGCACTTTTTCATTTTTTTTTCTTCGAGGAAGCGGCTTACTTTCAGTGCCATTATAAGAGCGTGCTCGGGCATGCAGCAGCATCCAAAAGTGGCCGCCGCAACTGTGCGGCTAGCAAATGCTCAAATCAGCCAGTGGCCACAGACTTGGGTATATGGCACTGAAATTTGCGTATATGGCATTATTTGCCCAAAGAAGAAAGCACAACTTCGAGATGACGTCATAGTTTAAGGTACCACAAGCAATTTCGTCCGTCGTATGAAATCCAACTTTACCTGCACTTGTTTAAACTCTATCTACATATTGTCACAAACAGTACATTGGCGAAACAGGACAGCTTGTTAATGTTAGAATAAATGGTCACGTGGCCACGACACAGCACTTTAATGCAGCAGGACACAACTTCGACAATTTCACACTTTGCATACTTCAGTCAAATTTCCGACCCCTAAGAGACAGGAAATACAAAGTCACACCTCATTCACAAGTTCAATACACTCCAGCCAGCATGTGTAAGCATTTCTAAAGGGCCTCTTGAATCAATTCGATGTGATACAAACACAAAGAACATCAATGAGAGTTAGGCCTTTCTTCGAGGAAATGAAAGTTTACCATTGTGAAGTAGTGCTTTTGACAACAGTGATTCATCAAAATGCCTACACCCCCCACTCTCACTTCTTCCTTTTTTTTTATTCATGAAACACACTTACACAATTAATCACGGCACGCCTGTATCCACAGTTGCCCTCTCCCCCCTTTTTGTTAGGATGGAGGAGAGAGTACGAAGTGTATACACACTAACGCTAAGGAAATCAGTTCTGGCCTTGAAGAAGGCAGGTCCTCTAGTCAGAACGTCGGCTCGAGCACCCCCCCCCCCCTCGAACCCTATTTATAGATTTTTTCATTGCAAACTTCCGCCTTCCATTCTTTTTGTCGTCTTATTAGATTTCAACTGATTTTATTGGTCCTGTTGTAATCAGATCACAAAAAGTTTAATACGTTGTGTGTGTATGTATATATATATAGTATGCACACTCAAACCTCCATAAACTGAACACAGATATAAGGAAATATCGGCTATGACAAAGTAAATAAAAAATAGTTTTGCAATAAATATAGTGTTTAGAACACACTTTTATAACAAATTTTTGGATATAACGAACTTATTTTTGTGTAAGATGCAACTTTCTTATAACGAGGTTTCAGTGTGTGTCTGTGTGTGTGTGTATGCATGCGTACCTACAGAGCAAAGACTTGGAGGCATACAAAGAAGGTTCAACTTAAGGAATGACGCAGTGAGTGGTAGAGAGAAGAATGATAGGTGATAGGTGAAAGGGATGGTGCCACCGATTTTTAAGGTTGTAACGATCCTCTTGTGGGCTTCCTCCGTAAGCGAGGACACTCTACACGACTCGTCGGACACAACAAACATTTAGAATTATTTTAATTCACTTCCAAAGTGTACCTATATGCTCATTCTCCCAATCGAGGCCCATCGCTAGAGTGTTCAATGCTGACGTAGCTCTATAAGAAGGCGACCGAAAGTTGTAGCCATGTCAGTCCACATCTGTAGTAAGGCCTGCGAACCTGTGTTACGTACGTACCGACAAAGCACCGCGGCTGTTGCAGCTAGCCATGGTAACTGTTGCTGTGTTTTGCTTTGCTGGTGCTCGTACGACACATGTGTGCGAGAGCAGACAATACCGAGCACGACGTGCATCACAGATTTGTGTGGCCATGTGAATGAGCCGCCTACACTGCTACACCACTGCCAAACTCAGCGCCCAGAAATGGAAACCGAAAGTTGTACACTTAAATAAGGCGACATTAAATTACTTTGCGAGGGTCGATCTTGATGCGTGTAGATGCTTCTTAGAGCTACACGAAATGCTTGCCGCAAAAAATGCAAACACCACAAATATGGTGGCATCACCATTTAAGAGACAGGAAGAGAGCAGAGTGGGTCAAGCAATAAACAGGGGTTGAGGTTATCATAGTTGAAATCAAGAAGAAGAAATGAACATAGGCCAGGCACGTAGCGTGTAGGGAGGATAACCGCTGGACATTAAGGGTAACTGACTGGATGCCCAGAGAAGGCAAATGCATGAGGGGGAAAACAGAAAATCAGGTGGGTAGATGAGATAAGGAAGTCTGGAGTTATAACGTGGCAGCAAAATGCACGGGATCAGGTTGCTTGGCGGAACATGGGTGGGGCCTTTGCTCTGACTTATCAGGCTGACGACGAAGACGATAATACAGTGTAGATATATTCTATGATTGATTAGGCTTCAAGTTGTCACGTGTCATTTCCTCCCAGCTTTACATTTTTTAAACGAACCATGAAGAGGAAAACAATTTTTCTATTATCGATAAATCAATATTTTATGATTCCAAAATCACTGGTTGGTAAGCGCTAACAAATGCTTGGTAAGTGAGAAAACTAGCAATAAGTGAAAATGCAAATAGTGACGAGACGTTAAAATGCCCACACTAAACGCTGTGACGTCACAGATTTTAATGGCACCTAAAAGAGCCTACGTAACTCCTAATCAGCAAACATCAATTATATCAATCTCTGAGGGAGTTACAGACTTCGGATACAAACTTACAGAAAATTTCATTGAGCCAAGAGGCCGCTAAAATACGACAAATATATCTTAAATGTCATGGAATCTCACACGGAAATTTCGGCACAAAACTTGGAAATAGAAATTTGACCATGTTTTTCTATTCAGTTAAGAAACTTATGACGGTACAATAATGACATTAGAGTTCTCAAAAAACACACTTTCAAACCAAACAAATTCATTGTTTCACTTTAACTTTTTCCACGGCCTGTAACTACGAGAATGTTCTGTGCACCATGGCGAAGTACGGCTGGGTAATACAAAGTACAAAAGTTCACTTATGCATTTATGAACGTGAGCGTTTGAATAACAAGAAAAAAAGATTTCAAGAATAATAGTAATAAGAATATTAAGAGTAATCATAAAGAGTACAGAAAAAAAAAAATTCTGAACGTCTTTCAGATGCTCACTACACTTGCACCCCGTTATTCAGACGGGAACGTCGACTGAACAAGTTTACAGAAAGTGAACTTGCCAGCAACTTTTTCAGGTTGCACAACGTCTCCCTCTCGAGGAAAACCAGAGCGGCAAAGCCACAGAACGTGTAACCGCCATGTGCCTCCATGCCTGGTACACCGCCAAAGCCTCCTTCGTACGTCTGGCACCTACAGGAAATGTTTAGATTCATGAAAGAAGGTTGACGCAGCTGCTGCCTCAGGCAAACAAGGATCTCGCAGGTCCTCAGGTGAGCATGATGCGAACATTTGAAAAGTAGAGACAAACACCATATCAGTGGAGTGACATGCCCATAGAGCCAATGAGGACGAAAATTGGATGCGATGATAGCGCCGTCTGGATTGCAGCGACAGTTGCACAAAGATTGAAAAATTACCATTTTATTGAGAACTGAAAAAGTTTTTATTATCTTCTACACTCAAATAGTTTTCTTGAATAAATAATAACTAAGAATATTATTTGTGTAATTTATAGCAGTGTATAAAATGAAGTGGCTTTTAAAGCACCAGGGCGTTTTGATATGGCGGTTGACCGTTCGCATAGCAGACGACACCGTCGGCGTCTGCTTCTGCTTCACGGCTGTCCCCCGCTTGTTGCAGCAGCTCCCTGTCCGAACTTATCTCGTTTGCATATAGTACAATGCAGTAAACTACTTACTAGAAGCTCACAAGTACCTTGCATACTTACTTTAGTAAGTAAGTGATGCCGCATACAGGCCGAGCGAAACGGCAACGCTGATCACACAAACTTGCAGCAATAAATTGTTTTATTGCGAGTCAATCCATGTTTACATATAATAAAGGTCATGTAAGTAACGTTTTAGCATGTACAGCAGTGAACAATATGCATGTATCAAATAGCGGGTACGTACATATTACGCATAGCCCCAACGCAGATGCCCGGAGCACAAAAGCTGTCCAGCGCTGACTGATATATATCCATCGCACTCCACGAAAACTTCACTGCAGTAAGTAAAGATCTACCGCTATCGTTCCAGCCGTTCTGTAGCTGAAGATGTCGTAACACCTCGTTGACCGTATTCAACAAACTTTCTGTAAATAATATCAACGTATCCGCCTGCCTTTCACGAGCAGTGCGGCCCGACTGTTTGTTTTCGGGTTCGCTCTGCCAGCTAAGGTGGGTCACTTTCCAATATTCCATGCGTTCGCACTATTTGTACTTATAAATGCTGAAAATTAATTGTGAAGCAGTTTTTTATGCATACTATTTTCAGGTATTACAAATAAAGTAGTAAAAAAAAGCCTTACATGGCATTGCGTTCGCCATCGCCGGCGGTGCGCTGTCGTCGTTTCAACGGTGGCGACGCCTCATAGCGCGGACGCGAAGCTCGCAACATGCCACAGGCCTGACCATATGTTTCAGATGGTGGCAGAGAAACAGGTAACGATAGCAGTGCGGCACAAAATGCATAGTATCCACAGATTAAAACAAGATTATTTAAGCCTAAGAAGTGCACACACTTTCGTTTCCTGCATCTACATTTTGTGTCATATTGATATATTTCCACCTCAAATGCTTATATCAGAGCTGACATTACCTTTAGCGGCCATATGCCGATGCAACCACAATTACATAATGAAGGCTTGTGCGAATATTCAAAGTTTCAAACACTTTTCTGATTGTGCTAGCTATTCAAGTTGCACTGGAATTTCACCATTGTAGTTTTTGAAAAATAAGCATAATGGTTTATAATAACAAAAAATAAATACATTCTAATTTCCTTGAAAAAATTTGCCAAATTATGCAATTCAATGAACACTCAAACTTTGTTATTTAAATTTGCTTCACATGCAATATCTTGCTAATTACACAGCTATAATGATGATCACTCAATTACCAATGTAGTTTTTGAAGGGGTAGAGAAAAAAATTTTGGTGTGGCATTTTTTTTTCAGCAATAAGTTGCTGGAGGTGTATTAGCCATAACACAGCACATGACACGCTACAGTGTACCAGAGATAAATAATTACAGCCTGTTTATTACCAATCATTCTCAGTTTTAGTTTGAGAGAGCTACGAGAATGACAAGTCGTGTGCAACTACTGCCACCTAGCATGTGAAGCAGAAAACACAACTGTATTGCACTTTCGCACTGCCTGCATGCTCTTTCCCTTGTGGCATGTGTAGCACGATGTCGTCATTGTCATCATCGTCAGGTCATGGCAAGAACTTTCTAGAGGCTTCCACAAGTTTGCTGTGGGCACGGGCCCATGAACAGCTACCGAATAGTACCCTACCAGCGCAGGTACAGCAAATGTGCAATGGCGCAATTTTTCTTTGCATCTCGTAGATCAGCCACAGTGGTGACGTCGTAAAAGTTTTTGGTTGCCTTTAGGTCACTTTGGACAATCTCAAAGTCGTGAGTTGCAGCGTACTGGGTTAGATAAGGCACGTAAACTTCAAAATTCACATGAATTACCTTCCAAGCTGTATTCGCTGTTCGGATTTGGTGGATGATATATTTATGTTCACAAGAATCAATACTGCAAGCTACCTCAGCTGTGATGTTTTGTGCCAGTACCCCTTTAAGTCAGTTTAATTGATAGTTCGACTGTGCTTGTCCGAAAGTTTTTAAGCACTCACTTTGTGACCCATTCCGCCGTTCCATCGAATAGTGATGGTGTGAATGTGTTGGTCAGCTTGGCCACAGACAGAGCACAGTAAGCCCCCCTGGAAAACGGAGAAGGGTAGTCAAACTACAATCTTTTACATAGCATGACCAATGAGAGGGAAAAAAGGCAACACTTACAGTAAAAATCTCTATACAGGCAAGACAGGGTGTCCTGACGTCTGTCGAAGTGGCACGAATTTTTAAGCAAAACTGGTGTTACAGCGGCGTCAATACAAAACTTCAATAAGATATTTATTTTGACTAGTAATAGACAGGTTTCAAAGGAATTGATATAAAAGGCCGAATAAACGCCTAACAGAATCATGTGAAAACCTGTAACTTTATGTGGCCCCATGCTCAGCACGGAAGGCTGAGAGCTATGACAACGCAGAAGGACGCAGTTACAATGAAAATGTCTGACATACATGTACAGAGTAGACAGTAACATATAAACGATATCGTCCGTGACAGTATAGAGAAACACAGAAGCATATCGAGCAAGAAAAGGTTTGAAAAACTTTAGGATGTTTCAGATTTCACACAGAAGACTTGCTCACGAACAAATGGCTCAATGTGGCAAGCCTAAGTCCATGTTATTACATGGCCGAGGTATCGTCTATGTCTGCTAGTGGTTCCGTTTCCCTTTCATCATGGCTCCTCCAGTCCAGATAAGGTGTTGCTGAGCCATTTCACTTAAATACTATTCATACGCCGCAACTCCTAACTTTCTGAATAGTGCTAGACTTTTATTCCCTTAACGCCCCTAACATGTTTATCTGTACTGCTTCTGTTTTTTTTTTTTTAATGTTGCTTCAATGGACAAACGTAAAAAAATTTCAAGCAACAAAGTTGCTCAATGGTGACTAAGCAACAATGCGAACTCACCATAGAATACAATTAAATGTTGCAGTTTTAACACCACAAATAATTATGAGTCAAGTTCTACCAAGGGGATCTCTTGAATGACCCTTCAAATAGACCCTTTTCATAATCTACAAGTGCGCTTCCCTGCACTGCACACTTGCCCAACAGTAGCGCCTGTGGATATCCTATACATATGTACAAATAAAAAAAAAACAGCTTTTTGCCATCAAAATATCCCCCCTTCAAGCCAATAGCCTTGCCAGGTCATCACAATGTCGCGGTGAACTGCTCTGCGCCAGCATGTAGCGCTTGGACCCAAGCTTCTACGAGTGCATCCGCACCATAATGTAGTTCCCCTGGAAGCTTCCATTTCAAGCGAAAGTAAAACTTTACTTCCATTTCTTTTATTTTCCCGTGACAGTAAAACACATGAGACTATTGGTCAGCTAAAGAAGCGAGTTGCAGCTTTATTGCCGACGGTGAATTTCAGCTCTTCCAGGTTTTCCTCTCACCAACTTAGTAACTTCGCAATGAAAGAGGTATAATCACATCCAGCAAGCAACAAAATAGCCAGCAACGAAACAGTCACCCTTTGAGAGATTCTAAACCAGACAACCATCAGTTTTGTGAACACAATAAGAGAGAGCCACTTGCTAGTGTGTACTATCAACAACCGTAACATTAACAACTTGCTGGCATAATCGATGAGAAACAAACAAGCAGTCATCACTGCCTGTCCACATTTACTGGTGTGACAACAGGCCACGCGAAGTAACGTATACCGCAGACACTGGAGCGACAAAACTTCATAGCGCAGAGAGTGATCACCCGCAGAGGGTGATGATGACCGATTTGTATCACACAGAGTATTCAAGCGCAGATCAACTGCTCAAATATCGGCGACTGTTTTCGCGCAGTGTCGAGTGCTTAAACAGCAAGCAAAACATCATGGTAATCATAGTAACCACACACTGTATACAACACACAAACAAAGCTTTTGTGGAACTCAAATTTGTGTGAACAGCGCTAAAGTCTGCTTGTAAGTGCACAATCTTCCTGACACTACCAATGGATTTTCGCGAACAGGGCAGGGCAGAATTTTGGTTGAGGTTCCTGAGCGTGAAGACCATGCTTTCCCATTTTTTTCGTGAGCGTGTGCGAAGACAGTCGACCGCAGTGTTACAATGACACAGTGATGTGGTTGGATAGATGGTGGGGGGTTCTTTGATGGCAAAAAGGCTTTTCTTGATTTGTACCCTAGTATGAAACCACACAATGGGGTTCACTTATTGCGCACATTTATATCAAAAGAGCTGAACCATTATTGTGCCAATTGCACAATGCAGACCCTGTTAGTTGGTTTTACAACATCGCAGAAAAGTTTAGCGTTAGAGCTTTGAAAAAAGACTATTGCTGTGCACCAGCCCTTGACAACCTCGTCGGTCATCTCTTGCTGCACCAAAATTTTACTAATTAATCAAGCACCAACTAATTGAACTGTGGTTCTTCAATGCTAACCTACATACATGTGAATTTTTTTACATTGTGCTTTTATCAAAACATGGCATCGAACCCGCGACATCATTCTTGCCAGCGTAACACCACAACCACCAAACAATAAAATGCTGGGTCTGTCCCCGCCATACAAAACCACAAAGATAAGGTGAGGGATGAGGTCAAGCACTTTTCAAGAGAAACATTTATACGTCGATGCTTAGCAACGCTTACCTGACATCGGCCTCTCCCCCATCGTGCATGATGAAGGAACCATCCGGCTGCTTCATTCGCCTCAGAAAACTGTACAGCGTTTGCCTGCAGTCAAAGCCCATGTCACCCTCAAGTCAGACACACAATAGCAAGTGATTACACTTGCCATTGTCCATTTTCAATAATAATAATAATAATAATAATAATAATAATAATAATAATAATAATAATAATAATAATAATAATAATAATAATAATATTATTATTATTATTAATAATAATATTTCATTGTACACATCCATAAGAAATACAAAGAAATGGGTCTGTGATAATAATAATATAATAATATTATTATTATTAATAATCTTACTATTATTAATTATAATATCTGGGATTTTACATCTCAAAACCACGATATCATTATGAGGCACGCTGTACAGTGCAAGGCCCTGAGAATTTCGACCATTTGGCGTTATACATCCTGTACTGACACAGCGCAGTACACGAGCCTCAACCATTTCACCTCCATCGAAACGAGACTGCCATGGCCGCATGTCTGTTTTCCAGCAAGTTGCATCTTCTACTGCTTGCCACAAACATGGCCAGCTGGAGCACTATTGTGGACGGATCACAATATTCTCAGTCGGCTTTTTAAAATGGGATATGATTGATTGTTCATGACTTCAAGTTTCATATGTGCATTGTGACTGTATGCAAGACCTTTTATATTGCAGTTACCCATTGAATGATGTTGCTCTAGGTAATAACACTGCTTAGTGATGATGTACATCTGTTGCATGCATATATAAGTGTTTTCTCTGAAATAAGAATCTTGTTGCTGTGGTGTTGAAGGTCGACACCAGGTGAATTTAGTTATGTTCAACTGTTATCAAGAGATGGCGCCACCTCTGACATTTATAAATACAACTGTCATCGGAATAAAACAGTTCTTGTGCGGCAGGGGTTGAGTGTGTTCGTTGTCCTCAGCTGCCCCGCGTTGCCGACCTTACAGTCGCCAGTAAGCACTCTAACCTGTGTTCTTTCTCAGTCTATGCTCTGGTTGCACTTTTGTCATTGCGAAGTTTACCAACGTGAGCTAATAGCGGTTACTTGAGAATGCGATCACTGGCATTAGATTTTGCATGCAAAAGTAATAATCGATACAACAGTGTCTTTCGCTTACCTGTTAATGACCCTGTAAGCCTCTTCAGTGCCCAGTATGCTGAGTGCGTTCACTGCAGCGTACGTTGGTGCAAGATGGGCTTCCTGACTGGGACCACCTGAGCGGAGATTGTGGCAAGATATTAATGATGTAACGACAAATAATAACATATGAATCAGCAGCTTAGTAGATAAAATAAACTACAGAAAACGTTAAGGTGTACACAAAATTTATTATTATTTGGTGATTTATGTCCCAAAACATGACATGATTACGAGGGATGCCGCACTGGATGACGGCGGAAATTTCGACCACCTGGTGTTCTTTAACGTGCACCGACATCCCACAGTATGTGGGCTGCTACCATTCCGCTTTCACTGAGATGCGACTTGCTGCAGCCGGTATCCCACCTGCCACCTTCGGGTCAGCAGCCAAGCCCTATTACCGCTGATCCGCCGTAACAGACTAAACATACATGCTGTTTGCAAGGGAATGGAAAATGATAGGAATAACATTAAGACACTACAAGACCGCAGAACAAGTGGGACAACAAACAGGTATGGCAAATATTCCTGTTGACATTAAGCGATAGAAATGGAGCTGGGCCAGCCACGCAATGCGTAAGACAAATAACCAGTGGTCATCTGGAGCAATGGAAAGATTATTACGGGATGAGAAATGATAGGGTAAATTGGCAATCATTGAGATAGGCCTTCGTCCAGTAATGGACACAGCACAAAGCTCCCAATAGCGATATTGATGACATGGTGTCTTTTTTTTATTCTTTCTTTAAGGTAGGGACATTTATTTGTGAGATAGGAATTTGAACCAAGAACGAAAGTTGAAGCCTGACAAGGTCTTTTAGTCTAAATATAGTTTGGAATCATGCAGCTTTCGGCTAAAAATTGAAACGCCCCAACCCACTGCGTAGGGGCCGGTTCACACACCGGAACCGCAGAGACGTGCGACAGAAGTCAAGAAAAATATAAGAGCACAAGAAATAGCAAACACAAGCCGTTGTGATCCCAGCACACAAAAACTTGTTAACACGGGCAAACAGTGGACACTGTGCTTTGTGTACCCACTCAATCCGTCCTTGTCAACAAGTTTTTGTGTGCTGAGGTCCCACAGACAAGCATAACCAACTAATTCACCCAATTATCCGGCGCAAACACAAGAAAAAAGAAAAAAATGCCTGAAGAAAGACAAGCACAACGTGTGACGCGTGTTGACAAAGCCATGAAGAGATCCTTACAAGTTACACAAACAACAAATGTTAAACAGCCAATTTCACATATGCTACTCAATTTAATTCTAAACTATAAAGAATTTTTTAGAGAAATGAAACGACTATTTCGTACAATTCAGAAATGTTAGGCACTTGGCAAATTATGTGGCACAAGTTTTGTGTAACTGCCTCAACAAGAGTTATCCTTATCAATTTGCCTCTAAGGCTTTCTCTTACCTTTCAACTTAAGGCGAGAAATTAACAGCATTACATAAGAAGATTATCAATATCAATTTTGATTTCTTTAGACGCAGTAACGGCGAAAATTGACGAAACATACTGACTTCAGTTATGTTAAATGTTGTCTTCTTCATTTTTTTGCACAACCAGACGTACTTCTCATATTTTTAGCTGTACAATTCAACTTTTCACGAGTCAAACAAGTGATGGCAATGATGTTAACAAGAGAGGATGTCCCTGTGTCAATCAAATAACATTGACTCCAAAATTAACCCAATAATTAAGACAGCAGTTTATGCGTTAAACATTATTCATTGAATGCGAAGCGGCTCAGTATGCTACATACACAAGCACTGCTCTTATGGTGCATACGCATACCATGTTATAAATAAATTTACTGACGGGCATTGCACACCGCAGAAAAACTAGCTGGCCACTCGCAAAACTGGCTTGTGGTGAAATTTGTTTTTATCGATCGAAGTTATAAATTTACAAGCCCAAAGCTTTACATTCTAAGAACTGATTTGGAAATATTGTAGGCAAAAAAACTAAAACAGCACCTCTCACTCATTGAAATTGCCCAATTTTCAACTCTTATTTTTAATGCAGCAAATACTACTTGAACTGGTGTGAAAATCTGGTGACATCTATGCTCGTCTTACATGCTTGTATGTCAAGAGAGCAGTGGTGATGCCTTCCCTCACGTGCAAACTGCAAAAAAGTGACTCGCACGTCGGTTGAAGTGACAGAAAGTGAGCGAACTAGAGGAGATTACACGAACGCTTACCGCCAAAGCCTCCTTCAGGATGCTGACACTTCCCCAAGAAGTCGGCAACGCTGAAATGGTGTAAAGAATTGGCAAACGTGAACTCGGATAAAATTGAACAGGACATTTAGGTCCATAGACTGAGAATGAAGATAGCTTATGTGAAATACAGCTTCAGCCCCTAGTCAGTCAATAAAGGTTTTTGAGAAAGCTAGCTGTAAGATTACAATGAGCCCTAAGGCACGAAGATACAAATGTGCGACACAGAAGCACACAAAAGTACAGCAACGAGAACTCTGGAAACCTAGAGAAACAGCAATGGCAACAAAGCTTTTGTGCAGTTTGTTGCCGAGCGATTGGCATTGGAATGAAAGCTTTAGTATTTATGCTCTCAACGTTTTCAACTCCATTATTCTACTGCTTAGAAATGAAACAGATATATGTACAAAATGCTTGTGATTCTCCTTCCGTTGCCAAACATGCCCACACAGTATCTTGATCTGAAAAACATTTGAATAACCCGGAAGTTTGGCAAAACATGCAAGCTTAAAGATATGAAGAATTCTTGAAAACTGGGCACCACTGGAACCAATCTTTTGACAAGCAGTCAGTTGCAGCCTTGAAGAAGACAAAACTGCTGGTCAGCTTCAGCTGCAATCAGTGTTCGAGAATTTGAAAAACATTGCACATGTGCAACTCACTTCTTCAATTGGTGCAGAAAATTATTGGGACGTACTCGTTCTAAAAACAGACAAAAAGGCTTTCTTGAAACACGTGTTCAGACCTTAACTACCTGAACAAGTGACAACAAAAGAAGAAAAGTCCTATGCGGCTTGGTCATTCTAAGGACTGCGCTACTATGTGACAAAGTAGACCGACAAAAAGGCTTATCACCTTGTCTTCATTTCCGAGTAGAGGGTGACCTCTAGGAGTTCTAGGCCATGCAGAATCCAGTAGCATAACCACGGGCGGCTGGCGTCGAGGTCCTGGAGAAAAAAAAAAAAAACACCTCGCTTGTCAGTTCTCTGTTGCCAGAATCTAATTCATGGAGCAGCGACAGACCACAGCCAGACTGGAGAGGCGCGCCCGCTTTCCTTCTTACGGCCTTTGCTATCGCTTTGGGTGCAATGGAAGCACGTCTCCGCGGATAACGTCGCCACTCACCGCGTGAGGGTGCAGCGACCCTGCTGTAATTGTAGCGGTTGTAGTTTGGGGAGCTTCTTGCTACTGCTGTCCTGACATTGTCTTTTTATGTCGGGTGTTGCATCGTTCGACAGAGTAGATGCCAAGCCAGATACGTCGCGATTTGAGTACCCTTGACTCTTAGTTTTTGCACTCTAAGGGATATATATGTCTTGCGATGCGGAGCTGTGAATCGGTTGCTGTGAACCGGCCAGCGAGACCATGGTGTACTGTTGCGTACCGCCCTGTAAGTCGTAGTCCAGTAGGACTAAAAGCGTTTCCTTTCATCAATTCCCGAGTGATGCAGAGCTGGTCACTAAATGGCTGAAAAACATTTCAAGGGAAAATTTGGTTGTTAATGACAAGTCGGCATCAACTGTCGTTTGTAGCCGGCATTTCCTCTCCACTGACTACGTGCCTGGGTGCCGAATCAGGAAACTTCTACCTGGTGTTGTGCCAACAGTTCTGTTCTGTTTTGTTTTAACTGTTTTGCTGTGGAGAGGTTGAGGTGCCTATTGCCTCGGCTACTCCATATCATGAAGTTCTGCAGCGAAAAATAAAATAATAATACAGAACAGTATTCAAAAATTAACAATACGGAAAAGAAAAAAAACATAATAGCACACTGAAACCAGTTCAAATATCATGCCAATACACAGTTTTCTTCGCACAGTTCACACAATCATAAACTACTTACACGCACACCTTACTTATCTAATGTCAGTATATACATGACCACATTTTATATAATACCCATATCTGGCTGTCAGTCATAGGCGCTTGTCCAGTCCGGTCTCCACTAAAAAGTCTGTCAGGAAGATTATTGCCTTTTTTCTGGAGATGCATCTTAGGCCATGGTCCAAGTAGTTTCTTTATTGTGAGGGGCCGTCTGTCCAAACTTGCTGATTTGTTCTTTAATTTGTCACTTTCATTCGCGTATTTGACGCACTCCAAAAGAATATGGCGAACATTTTCTTCTGCATGACCACAATGGCATTCCGGTAAGTTACATCAATGTATCTTGTGCAGGAAGCTGTTTGTGTATGCTACTTCCAATCTAAGTCGGTGGATCAATGTCTCTAGGTGTCGTGGGAGGTCTGTCGCTATGGAAAATTTTCTGTGTGGGTCAACTTCTTAAAGTACCATTTCCTTTGATTTAGGGCTCTCAAACCACTTCTCCATCGAACAATGGTTAGCTCCTTGCGATATAAAATGTCGAATATCCGCCCCAGACATAGGAATTGCGCAATCCCGTCCTTCCTTCTCCGCGAGACTATCAGCATCTTCATTTCCCTTTATTCCAATGTGGCTGGGTATCCATTGGAATACGATGTTGTGACCCGGCGATGAGGCATATTCCACAGTTTCTGCGATACATTGTGCTATTTCACCATTTTTGTAAGGTGATCTCACATTTCTGATTAGCTGAAGAGCAGGTTTGCTATCAGTGCATATCACCCATTTTCGTGGCTCAGAATTCTCGCAGATAAGCTTAACTGCTTCAAAGATAGCCACCAATTCTGCTGTCGTCGATGAAGATTTGTGCGATAATTTGTACATCTTCTTTTTCTGAATTTCGGGTATAAAGACCGCACAGGCTGACGCTTCTTCTGTGCGTGATCCGTCTTTATATATCTTCATTTTTTCATTATGCATTACATAAAGCTGATGAAGTACCAACTGTGCCGCTACTAGAGGTGCCATGCCTGCTTTCTTCTCTATGCTGTCTCTTTCACGGATAATGTTGAGAAGTGGCAGCGTCCAAGGTGGTTTTGAAGGTTTCCATTGTTTAAATTCTGGTACTACTGCTTGAAATGATGATATAGTATCCTGTAGTCTCGTTGCCGTCCTTTGTGTTAGTGCACGAGATAAATAATGACTTTCATGTTGCGTGAAAATTCTAAGTAAATTGCGAGATGTTTCTTTAGTTCGGAGTACTGCCAAAGATGGCTCTAGAGCCTCCGAATACACTAAATCACTGGAAGTTGACCGTGGTAAACCCAGACATATCCTTAAGCTCCTTGCCAATAACAAGTGAAGTCTCCTTTCGGTGGAGGCCGGGAGTCCGTGCAGCAGAGGCAGTGAGTAAGTTACGATGGGGCGTATCCAGGCAACATGTAGGGCTAATAACGACTCTGTAGTACCACCCCATTTGGCCCCGCAGAGATGCCGGAGGATTTGAATGGCCTGATTCACTTTTTGTTCCAGGGACTGGACATGAGGCGACCATGTTAGTCTCCGGTCTAAAATTACTCCCAAGAATTTATGACTTTTAACCATTTGAATAGGCTGATTCTGCAGAATAATCTGAAAATTTCCAGGTATTTTTAATGTAAACGAAAGTGTGGCTGTTTTAGCCAGACTCAGTGCCATACCTCTTTTTTTTTAGGAAACGGTCTACATAATCCAATCCTTCTTGAAGAGTTTGTTGTATATCCAAAATTGATGGACCAGACGTCCATATACTTATATCATCAGCATATACTGAGCATCTGATGTTAGGTGGAAGATTATACGGGAGCTGCGCCATGACTGCATTAAAGAGAGTAGGGCTTAGCACGCTGCCCTGTGGCACTCCTTGGTTGACATGTTCTGACGTTGGGCCCTCCTGCGTAACTACAAAAATTTTCCGGTGCTTCAGGAAGTCAGCGATCTAACGCAGTATCTTGCCCTTGAATCCCTGTAACGCCAGGCCTTCCAGAACGTGAACGTGACTCACTGTGTCGTATGCTCGGTGGACATCAAGGAATACAGTGACAGTGATGTTTCCTTGCGTTCGTTGGTTTTCCACATCTGTGACCAAATCCAGAATGCAGTCCATTGTGCATCTACCTCTTCTGAAGCCGGCTATGCTTTCTGGTAGTAGTTTTTTCATGTCTTGCCACCATAAAATTCGTTCATTGATCATTTTTTCCATCGCTTTTGAAAAACAACTTGTCAAACTAATCGACCTAAACGAGTCCAACTGCATAGGGCTCTTCCCAGGCTTTAGCAACGGTACTACTTTTGATATCTTCCAACTTTCCGGAACTTTTTCTTCTTGCCAACTTTTATTATAGATGTCCAACATGTGTAATTTTCCTTTTTCGCACAAATTAGCAAGAGCAGCGTATGTAACTCCATCTGTTCCTGGTGAACTTGTTCGTTTTACTGAAGACAGCCCATATTGGAGCTCCTCTGGTGTGAAGCTGTCATCCAGATCTGATGAGCTGATCGCAGAGAACTTTGTTACAACCGCCGAAGCTGATTCTGCAGCGGATTTATATTCGCTAGTTTGGGCGGTCTCTCCATTTCTTAGTATAAGATCGCTAAATTCTTCGGTAATCACACGTTCGCTGACTCCTCGAGACAGGGCTAGAACCTGTAGTGGTCTCGAGTGGACTACTGGCTGTCGGAGGCCGCGTACCAACAGTGTTCGACGAGTACCCAAGCTTCCTTGTGCCGAGTGCCAAGAAGCCTCGTAAGGAGACCGCATCTAGATGTTCTGTCCCTGCTCCAAAATCAAGTAAGCGAAAAGTGGAGCCAAAAGATGCGGTCGACCTTTCTGAATCGCAGAACGACTTCGCTGGCAAGAAACATAGTGTCTGCACTCAAACGACAAATAAAGATGCCCAGCAAGTAAGTGCGTATGTTTTGTTTATCAGCAGGCTTCGTAAACAAGCTGCGTACCACTGTTCGAAGTGTAGCAAGCTCCAACAGCAGCTTTACGCTGCAAGAAAAGCAAACGCTTTCTGTCGGGAGAATAAGAGGCATGCTGCTGTCAAAGGAGTTGTTGCTGATTCTGCAAAGGCTGAAAAGAAGGCCATCTTTCTCCTTCATGAACTAGACAGTTATGGGCAGAGGCGACTATGCTACCCAGAGGAAATAATCAGAGTGCGTGTCGTGTGGCGCTCGCCTAAGGGATACGATCACGCTCGGACATTCCAGCTGCTGACACTGCCAGCAAAGTGCACGCTGCAGCGGTACATGGGACCTAGCCCGACAATGACAGGTATGAGTCCTGCTATGAAAGAAAGACTGGTTTTTGAAGCTTTCCTACTCAGCTCTAAGCAGCATATGGCAACACTAATCATTGATGAGGCTAGCATCAAGCCAAAGTGCATATATGATAGGAAATCGGACGCAGTCTTTCGTTTGAGAAACAAGCCTAGCAGTGGCACAGAAGATGGGTCGAAGAAAACCCTTGCAAACAGGGTCCGGTGTTTTGTGCTTCACGGCATCGCTAGCTCCTACAGAATTCCCTGCTCATACTATTTCACTAAGCAACTTAGCAGGAGAGACCTGTTTGCACGGACTAAGGAAGTGATCAACGCTGTTGAGTCTTGCGGATTTTTGATTGTGCGCATTGTAACGGACAATTATTCTGCCAATACTACAACGGTTAAGCTGATGGGAAATGGCTGCCTATCGACTGTAGTGGAGCATCCACATGATACCAATCGGGTGATCTTTCTAAGCTTCGACCCATGCCACGTAATAAAAAACGTTTGGAGCCAATTTCTTGAACAAGAGCTGACAGACGGTGTGGGGGACATCTATGGCATATTTGTTCAAAAGCTGTACGAGCACCAGAAGGACATGACAGTCAAACTGGCAAGAAACCTAACCAAGAAACATGTCTACCCTACAAACCTGGAGAAGATGAATGTCCTTCAGGCAGTGCAAACATTCTTTCCACACCTATTGAACACCTCCAAGAAAACACAGGCGGTGACTGTACCCTCAACGTGTTCAGCGAAGCAAGTTCAACCATTCACTTTATAAAGACAATCAAACGATGGTGCGATATCCATAAGACCACGTATGCCGGCAGCTGCCAAAAGAGCACGATATCGAATACAGACGACCCTCGGCTGATTTGGCTAGCAAACGAGTTCACCAGCTACATTGAAGGCATCTAGGAAAGCTCGAAAACACAAGGAAAGGATGGTTTCACTGGTGAGACATTTGAAGCCTTGCGTTTTACGACGAAGTCTACAGTTGAAACTGCACGTTTTCTTCTGCGGAATGGTGTCAACTGCGTTCTTACGCGGAAGCTGAACAGTGACCCTATTGAGGCCATCTTTGGAAAAATAAGATTCATGTGCGGAGGAAATGACATGCTAGGGCAGTGACGACTGCGCTTGATCACATTATCAAGTCTGAGGCTTCAATATGCAAGAGGCTCACAATACCTTGTGTTGATGCCGAAGACCTGGCTGCTGCGCTACCACAGTCTCTGACTGAGGAGTTGAATGACCTCGTGGAATATCCAGACACCCCATCACTCTCTGTCACGTACTCTGGTTTGGTTTATGTGGCTGGATACATCGCCTCAAGTGACCTTGAGTGTGACGCCTGTTCAATTCTCCTCGAAACGCACGAGAGAAGTGATCCTTTGTACACGGTTCTACAAAGCTAAGATATTAACAGGCCGCACTATTCAGAAGCAGAGTTTGTGGCACTGTTGGACAAAATTGTGTGCTTTTTTGAGAAAGCTGTCGTGCACCTTCCCCGCACAAATGTGCTGGAAGTGCTACGAATCCTCATTCAGCCAAATCTTGAAAACTCGCCGCTGCTGCGTTGTCCAGAAGGCGTCAACAACAGCCATGCGATAAGGTCTGCTGACTTGATTTCCGAAAAGTTTGTGAGAATACTTCTGATCAACTACACCCAGAAGATAACCGACAAGAACAAGAAGTCAATAAGTTATGTGCACAAGCCTTCCAGGAAACACTTTAGGCTTTGATTTTGTGTCCCAGGTGGGAGTTATTTCAGCAAGAAGTGATGTGTTCAACATGACAGTTTTCAAATAACGCGGTATTAGTGAATAAAATGCTCAGTTTGTTTTCATTTTCTGTCAATAAATACTTGTTTTCGCCGAATGTGCAGCACCATCCCTTAGTTGTTTTTAATGCCAGTGGTGCTCAAACGAAATACCAGCACTTCGGCTTCAGAGTTATGACGCAAATCCAAGCCTGGCAATTTTTTCTGGGCAAACACTGCACGTTCCGCGGAAATTTATTTGCCGACTCGGACCCATTACTAGGCAAGACAAAACTGCGCGGTGGTTGTACAGGAAAAGGGCCAGAAAGTGTGTACCAGTGCATGGCAGTTACAAATAATAGGAGAATGCACGACCGAGAGAGGAGTGAGCGCACGCTCGCCTTTGGTGCGTGCCGATGGCGGCGGCAGCAGTACGGTCGCAGCGACACCACGGGTGCGCGGCATGCAGGGTAAAAGGCCGCAATGAGAAGGCCGTAAGAAAAAAGCACGCGCACTTCTCCAGTCCGGCCGTGGACAGACATATCACAAAGCTGCAATATCCCTCACAAGTGAATGGTATCAGAGTACAGCAAGTCATGTCGACAGCAAGGCAGCTTAACTTGTGCCATACACTTAGGTCTTTAAATTAATGCTGAAGTTTGATGTTTCCTGCGCCAACACAATGATACAATTACAAGGTATAGAGCGGAAGAAATATGGCAGAAACTAACTAGAATACTTAAGAACACCACTTACATAACAGAGCAAGAACAGAGTGACAAAATAAGGCAGTTATGCAAAAGTGGTGCCAAGCCTAAAGGTGGTGGGCGGCCTTGTATGTTACTCTTTGGTTTTCTCTTTCTTCCCTTCTCCATTTGTTTTTTTTTACTGTTTATTACTCTTTTTTATTTTTATTCCCATTTTCTTCTCTTTTTCTGGTCCTTGCTTGCTTCCTTGCTTTTTTTTCTATTTTTATACGTGGTATTGCCTATGTTACACCGAGTGACGGCAGATTATGACAACCCAGGCCCCTGAAGCACTCCAGACTCAATATCATCATCCATGTGCTCGATGAACAAGGGGAAGAAGAGTTCTACTTGGCTCGAGTGCACACTCGATACGCCACAGACGGTTGTGCCATACATGCTGCCTTACCCCCAGCAACAACAGCATACGGCATCCCAGGCGCCAAAGGTGCTCCGAAATTGAAACGGGCAAGTCACTCACCTGGTAGGCTTTGGGCAGGTAGCTCAGTCCTTTCATGAGGTAGGCGATGTGCTGTTCTCTTTGGAGACGGGGGATCCTGGAAAAAATTTGGCAGTCGAAACGACAACAAAGTAAAGTCAGCTTGCAGAAAGCAATGCTGCAGTAGACTTATTCGCATGAACATTTAGGCTAGGTGGTACTACGCTGCACATCACAGTAACAGAGCTGAAAAATATGAACGAATGACAACGCCTGTCTGTATCCATTTGCTCTGCTTTTTTTGTTACGCTCATAATGTCTTGTAGGGGCAATAAAGGAACACTAATTGTGTGAGGCAAGACACAAGCTAGCACCATGGTACATAACACCGTGGACTTTGCAGCACCCATATCAAGAGCACTGACAATGAAAATATGGCAGTCTGTAATTGTTATACTAATTAAAACATCGTAAAGAAGGGGACAAACGGCACTAGACACGGGGCGGTGAAAGAACGACAGACGAGAACACTAACCTAACAACCTCTTCTGCGCATATTGCATATCCTAGCAATAAACTAATGACTGTTAGTTCAGCACCCTCATCTGTCATTCTTTCACCGTCCCGTGTCCAACGTGGTTTTTTCTCATCTGAAACATGTACCAACCAGCCGAGATCGCCGCAATCCTACAATATCGTGAAAATTTTAGGTGCAGTCCTGCTCAGCAACGAAAAATATCTTGAGGAAACAGGACCTCTAGAACACTCGTATAACACACCTGCATGTTTCGACCTACCTGTGCGTATCGGTTCAACAGGTAGCAGAACTAATCGAAAATATGACTAGCAAATTTATAAAGTTCATTTACGAAGACTAACTTTAACATAAGTGCGATGAAATCGGTAAAGAAATCATTTTCTTTTCCACCATGAATCTTACTACCAAGACCTATTGATTTTAAAAGTTGAAACATGCTGACTGTAGATCACACACACGCTAATGTTGCGAAAACGCCATGGTGATTTGCACGTATCTAAGTTTGTGCGTAGCCTCGGCAAGTGCTCTCTGCCTGATTTAAGAACAGAATGAAAAGTTCGGCTGTCGCACAGTCGGTCGAATCCAAAAATACAAAGTAACATATATATTCTAATCGTGTTCAGAGGAAGAGTGGCGATGCCTTACCCTTCTTCTAACCTGACTGCCGCTTGAGTGGTCTTGAAGAAGGCATTCACTGACTCCTCTACTTTTTTCTGGAAGTGAAGCACAACTACGTTAGTACAGAGAGCTTTGCCGTCCACTCGCATCGAGTTTATTTCAACACTAGAAAGTATACACTGCCTCCGATTGGACAAAGAAAACGTCATCTACGGATAGACACGTAGGCTTTTTTCCCAAACTGAATGATACCAACATGTTCGCCCACAGAGACGGCATATGAAGTTGATCAGAACAACGATCTACGCCCCCGATATAACAAAGTCGCGTCACGGTTAGTCGTATACCTGCTCCTCGGATGACGCCGTTGGGTAATTGTCGTCATCGTAGCGCTGACTGTCAATGGAGGGACTACAGCATCGCGTCGGTAACAATTCACAACCGTTGCTTTCGGCCATGATCACTGATCAAACTTGCGTACCGGCAATTTAGCAGCGCAACACGAAATTACAGTCGACGCTGTCAGCTGCCATTTCCGACTTCGACGTGTATTTGGATTCAAACTTGACTGGATTGTGAGATACTTTTTTGTTGCCAGACGAAGTAGCCTTGCTATGCTAGGACGGTCGTTTTCTTTTTAGTTTTGGTTTTTGATTCTGTGTGATTTGGTGCACCAAGGCCTTATTTATATAAACGGTTTCAAGAACACGAGCGTTGTACTCCACCTCCCCCCCCCCCCCCCAAAAAAAAAAAAAATTTCCAGTCACCTCATTTATCAGCTCCTTACTTCGAAACTGAGAGCACGTTCTCAAGTTGTTGTTGTTTTTTTCAAGGGTAAGGAAAGTCTCTCTTTAATTCTTCAGATAAAAGGAATGCGCGCAAAGTTGAAAGGAATTTCTACTAATTTTCATGTAGCTCAAAAGAACATTTCTTTGTATATATTTTGCCAAATAGGTGAAGGAAAGTGTAGAAATTGAGCGGGCTATTCTCTAAAGCTCTTCTTGTCCAACGACGCAATTAAGGCACAGCGATGGACAGAACAGTATGTACAGTAGTTATTGTTGCCGTTGGATGGACGGTGCCATGTCGTCGAGATGGCTTTATGATTTCGCATGGTAGAGTACCTAGTACTCTAAATCGGTAACTATTTATTCTAAATATTGATTTGATATCCACCCCGGGACGGCTTTATGCTCTCCTTTAGTTAGAGTACATAGTACTATGAATCGTTTACAATTTTCAGGGGCGAAGCTCCTCAAAGCGGCACCCGTTCGTCCCTCGTAGTCGTTGTCTTAGTGTGTAACAAGTGTTACATTTTGACCTGCAAGGTGGTGCCGGTGGGAGATTTATCCTGTGCTTTGTTGAACAATAAAAAGTTTGCGGCGTGCTGGTTAACTAAAAGCAAAATGCTCCAGTCTCTCATTCCCCATTAGCAGCCATGGGCATGTTCCAGTAGGAAACGTTAGTAGAAGTAGAAGTGTTAAAACCGACTTCTGCTGTCTCTTATTCCCAGTAGCAGCCATTGTTTACCTCCAAGGTAGTGCCTGGTGAGATTTCTCCTGTGCGTAATTAAACAATAATAAAATTGTTGTTCAAAACGCCATCGATTGATGTAATAAACCAACGAAAGACGCCAGATGTTTTCTAAAAGCAAAACGAAAAGACGCCAGATGTTTCTAAAACAAAACAAAAAGAAGACACCAGCTGCTTAACGAAAGACGCCAGGTGTTTTTTTATCAGGCGAATTAACGGCAGAAAATTTCGTGGTATTACTTCCAAGAGTTTTGCCCAATCTCATCATCATTCACGTCGTGCATCTGCCGTCAATTTTTCTCTAAACACAATAGCAAAGAGTGATGAGCGGCAAGCAGCGCCTACGGAGCGCCCCGAAGCTTCTGCGAAGTAGCCGCGTGGGGGCGCGTGCAGTCGGTTATAACTGGATTATAACTCGGTTGACCAACGCGTGCTGTCGGTAAAAGCACTGGGGCTTAGGGACAGGGAGGGCAAAATAGACTTTAAGCGGGTAGACTTAACTAGAAGGAGGTTATCTGATTGGTGGCTAAAGTCAAGGCACGAGTGAAAATTAAACTCTTCACTGCAAAGTACGAATCTTCATCCTCACTATTATAGGGAAAAAAGATAAACCTAATGGTTAGTTCACTAAGTATTACGGGCTAGTATTACGGGCTAGCCACCGCCCGATCTAAAGGGTACAGCCACAACCAACCATCCATCCATCCACTGGCACGGTGGATGGACGTGTTTTTTGAGCGCTTTCGATGGACTGCGCAGATAAGTGGTTTTGCATGTTTTGAGCTTTCCTTTATAATTATAAGGCAGCAGTTAAAATCTTTGTAGCACTTATTACATTATACGGCTTTTCCAGCGGTCAGTCACCAGGTATTTACTAGTTTGCGCGTGTGTGTGTGTGTTTTTTTAGGGGCGAAGCTCCTTAGGGCGTGGGCTGTGCGTCCCCTGTAGCCTGTATGTAGCCACCTCTAGTCTAGTTCTTGCAGTGTTCACTAGATGGCGGTACCGTCTCCTGTATGTAGCCACCTCTCGTTTAGTTCTTGTAGTGTTTACTAGATGGTGGTACTTGTAGCTGATGATGAAAAGATGCAAGATGTTATAAACTAGAAAGCGGTACTTGTAGTTGATGAAAGACGCGAGATCTTATAAAATAGGAATGATGTCACATATGGTGCGTGTCATTGGTTGAAGGCAATCGTTCGATTTAGTGCGGCGACGTACGCTAGGGGGAGCGTTGTAATAAAATCCGTTCGCTGTTGGCGCGCGCTCGGAGTCGCCGGATGGATAAGGCTGCACAGCGGAGAGAGCGCAAGGCGGCAGCAGCGCGCGCTCGCAGACAGAACCCGATGTGCGAGCGCGTGAGGCAAGGGACATCGCAAGCCATCCATCGTCTAAGAACAAATAAAAGTTGATTTGTGTATATACACACACAGCGTTTCTCACGTCTTTACATGATGATCGACTGGGCGAATTACACGGAAGATTCACAGTTTACCGATGAATCCCTCCGGAGCTTCGCCCATTCATCATCATTCACCCCGTGAATATGCCGTAATTTTTTTTTCTCTCTTGCCACCCCGTGGGGGAGGTGCACGTACATTGAACACGCAAATTTTTGTAGTAGAGCTTAGACTTTCTCTTTTTCGTAGGGCTGGGATCGTGTTCTGTAATAATCGAGTGAGACAACTCATAAGGACAATTGGTGTCATAAAGACATGGTTAAAAAGGCTGTAAAGTGTTCAGGATGCAAAGTGAGTTTGAAAACGGACCCAAGTGCTGAAGCAAATGGAGAGGAGGCTGACGCGAAGTGTAGGCAATGTGAGGTCGAGGAAAATATGGAGAAAACGATGGTGGGCCAGAGTGAACTGCTGTTGAGAATCACCGAGCTGGAGACTGCATTGGCGACAGAGCAAGAAAAAAACGAGGGCAATAGGAGAAAGGTTGAAGTCCGCCGAGGAAGCACTAGTCAAGGTAAACAAAGGAGCGACCGACGGAGAGAACAGTAGGGCACCGGCAACCTGAACAGCGGAGAAGGAAGAGCAAGCAAGTTTGGAAAAAAAAACTGGTTCAGCTGGTTCAATTGTCGCAAGGCCCAGCTTCAGCGAGGTAGTGGTGGGGCTGGGAGGGGCAAAGCAGCTGGCGTCACAGGTGCAAGTAACACCAAGGTGCAAGACGCTCCAGCTTAAAAGTCACAGCATTTGATAATCGCTGGGGGCTCGAATTTGAATCGATGCACAGAAGCAATCAAAGAGAGGGTAAGAAGGTTCACTTCACTTCACTTTATTTCCTTAAAGACCCCACAGGGGGGGAGGGGGTGTTACATAAGGGGTGGGTTGTACAACAAAGATACAAAAGCCACAGGTTAACATTGCAGATGCATTGGCACACTTTGAATAAAACGCGATGGACAGGTGATTGAAACAACATCGTGGGGAAGGTCATTCCATTCTTTGGCGGCGCGGCAGAGAAATGATGCAGAAAATGTTGAGGTGCCAGATCGGGGTCGGAAGACTTGAAGTGGATGGCCAGTGCGGGGAGAAATGCGTGCGGCGGGAGCGATGTAAGGTGGTTGGTGGAGTGAGCTGTGATACAACTTGTGGTACAGTGACAACGTAGCAATTCTGCGGCGAAGGGAAAGACTTACTAGACCGGATTCATTTTTAAGGGATGAAACACTGACATCGTAAGAATAAGAAGAATGAATGAAGCGAGCGGCACGATTTTGAACTGCTTCGATAGCGTTGATCAGATAAACTTGGTGAGGACTCCAGATGGGTGATGCGTATTCTAGTTTGGACCGGATTAGCGACTGGTAGGCCACAAGACGAACGTGATACGGTGAGTGACGTAGGTGACGTTTTAGAATGAATGAATGAATGAACAACTTTATTTATCCCTTGTTAAAGGGAAGGGGGCAACAGGAAAGGGTGTGGTGGGGATGAACTACTTGAAGTAGTCCTCCTCTACCCTCTCAGCCCACTCCAGGATGGCCTCCTGGATAGCGGGCCTCGAGCTGCGCAAGGCAGCCTCCCACTGCTCCTCACTAGAAATTAGGCGTTTCAGGAATGGGGGAAGAGGGTGCTTAGGGCAGCGCCACATGATGTGGTTCAAGTCTGCTGTGGAGGAGGCACAAAATTTACATGAGGGGGAAGGATAACAGGATGGATGAATGCGGTGTAGGAGGTAAGGCGAAAGAAAGGTGCGAGTCTGCAGCTGTCGCCACAGAATTTCGCACCTGCGTGAAGATTTGCGCGTGAGTGGCGGGAAGGTTAATCGCTCTAAACGGTAGTGTATGCAAATATCGTGGAATGAAATAAGGCGATCCCGCGCTGTAAATGGCGCCTCATTCGTAGCGAATTGCGACACATCGGATGCGTGTGCCCGGACTGTGAATCCTCGGGCACTCGCATGAGCCGCCTCGTTTCCGGCAAGGCCCGCATGCGCGGGAGTCCAGATTAGTGCTACAAGTCGATCAAGGGGATGATGCAAAAGTAGGGAAAGGGCTGGCTTAGAAACCCTGCCCGCTCCGAAATTATATATAGCTGTTTTGGAGTCACTGATTATAACGGATGAACTAGGTATTGTCAGGGCCAGGGCTATGGCCGCCTCTTCCGCTTCCTCCGAAGAAGAAGCAAGAACGGAGGCGGCCGCAGCGACCTGGCCGTGAGAGTTGATTACCGATATTGCATAATGATGCCTGTTTCCGTAATCGGCGGCGTCAACATAGAGCACATCCCTATTGGAAAAATTGCCATGGTGGATACTGGAAAACATGGTGGGCGTAGTGGAAATAATAGTGGGCATGGTGGAAATAATAGTGGGCATGGTGGAAATTATGATGGCTATGGTGGGACGTAGTGGAAAATATGGTGGTTATGCCGGGACATACTGGGTGGTATGGTGTACAGATGATGGGTAAAGTGGAAATGATGGTGGAAAGCAGAGGCTAGATAGTGGGCAATAATGGGACACTCTGCCCACCATTGCGATAATGCTGGGAAG